TATCCCCTGTGTGCCTTGTCGACTCAGTATTAATATTTAAGACTGTTTAAACAGTCTTAAAATGTCGTAAACTAATTATAACAGAGCCGTATTAGTATCTTAAAACATTACTTGTAAATATTAGCCAAGAATTAGGAACAAGTGAATGGAGGAGCGCGCGCCGGCCCTGAGCGCCGCATGGACAAGAGCGATTATTCGTTAACTTTAACCAGCTCTCCTGCCAAAATTATTTGTCAGATCAAAATTTGCTAAAGGAAAAAGTTGTTCCTTTTAGCACAAAGTATCACGTCCTGTACTCCGAATGCGCCAATTTTGGGACACCCTGTATACAGGGTGTCTCGAAATTCGCGAATCAAAATATTATAGCAAGAAAGTCTTAAAAAAATAAGTAAAAAAGTTATTTGTAAATTTTTATTTTAAGCAGTAGTTTTTGAGATATAAGAGTTTAAATTTAGCCAATTATAGATAATTTAGTACGCGCGTGAAGTGCACAATCACTAATACTATCGATGCGCTCACGGATATGTTTCTGTTTAATCGTGATCTATAATTGGCTAAATTTAAATTCTTATATCTCAAAAACTACTGCTTAAAATAAAAATTTACAAATAATTTTTTTACTTAATTTTTCGAAGACTTTCTTGCTATGATATTTTGATTCGCGAATTTTGGCGGACACCCTATATGTATATATATATATATATATATATATATATATATATATATAAAATTTCATAAGATAGATATAGATAATAGGTAGTAAGAGATAAAACGCATAGGATTATACGAAGCTCTATATGAAGCAATAATATATATATGTATATTTATATATATATATATGTATTTTATTATTATTATATGTATATTATATGTATATTTATTGCTTCATATAGGACTTTGTATAATTTTATGCGTCCTCTTACTTACCTATCTTATTATTTTATCTAATTAAATTCTTAATAATTGAAATTGTCTCAAAAAATCAAATTTTTTGTTTTTCAGGTATCCAGATCAAGGTTCGCTTGCTCGTCATCGAAAGACTCATACCGGCGATCGACCGTTCCAGTGCTTGGAATGCCATAAAAACTTCCCTACGTCCACGGCGCTACGTCGTCACTTGACACTGCACAACTCTCAATCGCGACCGCTTCCTTGCATTTACTGCGGCCGGCGGTTCATGGATAAGGCCAGTTTAACGAAACACGAAGAATCCCATATGCATAACGAGCAACGTAAATACCCGTGCGAGATATGCCAAAAGACCTTCCATCACGTGACCGACCTGATTATGCACAAGAAGTATCATGATCCTGACAAGAAATTTGATTGCGAAGTGTGCGGTCGCGAGTTCAACAGACTGAACAATCTGCAGAGACACATGCTGGTACATCAACAAGTATGTATTCTTTTAATTATATCCTGTAATTCCTTCCTCCTTAGGACATATAAAAGAGAAAATATATCAAATGATTATGCAATCAGGAGACATAACAGCGTCCCGACCCAAGTTTTTTTTTTCGTAAGATATATCTTTTTATAAGCGAAACATTACGGTATCTTTTAGAGCCATGATACACGGACAACTCAGTTATTAAGCGTTATTAAGTTATGGGACATTGATGTACATGATTCGAAAACTAATTAGCGATTTGTGACTAGTTAAGAGCGAATGTTTTATGGTGTCACAGATTTATTTGGGCTTTTATCGAAGAAACGCTTTTATTTAATAGTATTGTTATTTAATAGAGTTACTGAATAATCAGGATTGCCATAAAACTGGAAATCAGGGAAAAATCAGGGAAATTGAAAACGGTCATGGAAATCAGGGAAAAGTCAGGGAATTTTACAAAATTTTCTGCAAAATTAAAATTCTTAGATTTAAAGAAGTTTAATATGCGCATATCACACACTTATACAATTTTGTTAGCTAATGTAAACTCTCTTTTTAATAGAGGTTTAAAATGCTTCGCTAAGAGCATTAGAATTTTCATTTTGTCTACTTTTGTTGAAATTTAAAATTTATTTAAAACTGTTTTTTTTTTAACTTGTAAGTTTCTTGCGTTCACTTGTGAACAAATTAATAAAATTAAAATTGACTTCGTATTTTTGTAATTCTTCTTTCAATTTGTAAATCTTTGTATAATAGCAAGTCGGAAATTCCAATAAAGGATTTAGTTTTTATCAAAAAGAATTTATATTTACATGTTTCTTTTGTATTGTGTTGTGAGAAAAATAATTGTGTGTATATATAAAAGAAAAAGATAAAGGAATATCAACAACTTAACAAATAAGTGCAAG